ATTTGTTCGAGCTGTATTATCGTTGATAACTATATCATAATATCTAAGCCACAGATCCACCTGATCTGAAGACATCCAAAGAAGACGAGTTAATCTATTGTCTTTATCTAATTCAAAATCAACAATCCAACGTAAGTCTTCAGCCTTCTTTTGCATTAATGTTATAAGTAATGCAGATGCATCATTATTAACTTTATCAGCAATTTTGTATTTATAAATTACGTTGGCTAGGTCTTGATCTTGAAAATGCAAATCTAAAAATCGGGCTTTTAAGAGATTCCTTTGTGCTGTAAGTGTTAAACTTCCATACTTTGTCATTAACAAAATTTCATTAAGTGCTTCATTAGTAAATGCTCGATATTTTGTTGAAAATTCTTGAGTTTTAGGTACAAGTTTATGATTATGTTGATTAACAAATGTTGTAACCCCTATTTGCGTTGCTTGTTTAGGAAAGGTGAGATTTATATGCCATAGACAATTTAATTTTTTTGTTTTGGTATTCCGTTGCGTTCCCTTTGATGCTGCTTTTACCGATTTTTTGGACTTATATTTTCCGCTGAATTCACAAACTAAGGTTCTTTTATGAACTTGTCTTTTACTATTTCGTTCCATTCTATATTTAACAATTGCAAATCTATTTCTAGCACCATAATCATCAAAGTAGCTATCAACTTCGTCCCATGTATTAAATTTGATATCTTTAGGAATATCCTCAGTCTCAACTGTAAGTATCGGATATTTACTATTATTAGTTAATATGTATAAATATAGTAAAGATACATACGTATTTAAGATGTAGTTAATACTTGTTAAATTATCACTGTTTTCCTTATCTACGTTAATATATTCATCTACATTAATATATTCAACGCCTTCCATTTCTTGTACAATATTATCAATATTAATGGCAACTGGATACATATCCATTAGACTTATAGTATCTATTAAAAAGGAAGATACAAAAAAATTCTTTCTGAATAATAGTTTGGTTTGAGTTTTTTTCGGTTGGTATTAAAAATGAGAGAGAGAAATGAAGTTGTTTGTTTGTTTTTATTAACGATGACTTTACTAGAGATACGGGTTTGTTTATGGCATATTTTTTTTGATTTACATTAGGAAATGCGATATATCTTAAGTTTCGCTTTGCATAAAAATCTTTCATAAACGTATAAGGGGTTAATTATATCATATGTTTTAGTTTACATTAGGAAATGCGATATATCTTAGATTTCGCATTGCAATAAAAATTTTCATAAAAATATAAGGGCTTTATTAGAACACTTCGAGAAGTTTATTTATAATATTTTTTCAGAAATGCGATGCATCTTAAATCTCACTTTGCATAAAAAATTTGTGTCATGTGTTATCATGTATTTTCAACCAATTAGATTACACTTTATATATCATGCTAGATTTAATTGGATCACCCCCCGTTAGATATACATTTATTTTAATTTATAAAATATATTTATTAATTAAATATATTTTATTAAATCCAATTTTAAATATAATCAATACATTGTGAAGCTAAACTAAACATAATATACAAGTAGATTAATAATATTCAATTAATAAAGTTAATAATAAATAATAAAAGAAAAATTCCATATGGACCGATTCTTGGAATCTAATTTTTTTATACAAAAATAATTTTATTAAAGCAAATATAAATTATTATTTATATAAAAATAATAAATTTATACTAGATAATGCAAAAAAAACTAATTAATTATATAATTTTTAATTTTTTTTAATATAAGATATCATTAAAATTTAAAAGATCAAATATAACTCTCATGACAAAATCATTGATAATTCTTCGTAGAAATAAGCTATACAAATAAATTTACATTCATTTGAAAGAGAAAATCGAGATCTATCTAATGAATCTAAAATCAAGTGAATTGAATCACTAGTTGTTCAGTAATCACGTTCAGTATATTTATTGAATTTTATCTAAATTTGATCATTAATTACTTCACATGTAGTGATTCAATTTGAATGATCTTTGCTCCCTAAGGTGATGCCAACTTTTATCTTTAAAATAAATTTAAAATAATTCGTTTAATATATGTAGATGTTTAGAAATCATCAATTATATTATTGATATAAAATTTTATAAGTTTGATAAAATCTGATATAAAAAAATTTATTAAATACCTGTAGATGCAAGCTACACGAATGAAATTATATTCATTTGAAAGAGAAAATTGAGGTCTATCTAATAAGCCTAAAATCGAATGAATTGAATCACTGGATTGTGAATAATTACGTCTAATATATTTATTTTTAATTTTTAAATTTGATTTGACTTTGATCGTTAATTACGCCTCATCCAGTGATCCAATTTTCCTGATCTTTGATTCTTACGATAGAGCAAATTCTCAGCTTTCAAATGAATGTAAAATGATGACGTTAGCATATCTCCAGGAATAATAATGCACGATTTTGTCACCTGCATAAAGTCTGATCTGAAAATTTTATTTCTTACCAAAAAATGCTTTCATAAGAGAATCCCAAATTCTTTTACTTTATTTAAAAGATTTTATTTGCCATTTAAGGATTTTAGTAGAATAAATCTAATAAAATAATTTTAAAAGATAAAAAACAATAATTTTACTATAAATCACCAGCGGTGATCATCACTGGTATCATGTGTTATTATATATCGCGTAAAATTATAATTATTATAAGAAATTTACTACGTATCACCACTGGTGTTCACCACCGGTGTCACGTGTTTATTATTTATCTATTAAATTATAGCCCCTGGATGCGGCTTATTTGTTTATTAACAATTTAGTCTAGCCCGTCTAGCCCCTTGATTAAACGCGTTAGTATTCATTAGACGCGTCATCATTTACCATATTGTTACATCATATACAATAAAAAATTGCTGCGCGTTACTTCGCTATAAACAATGGTAGCTTCGTATCGTATTGTATCATCGCTGCGGCTTGTATTCTGTCATATACCCACGGGCCTTCTCATTTTTTTTCTCTATCTCTGTCCGGTAGTTCTTTATTAGGTGACTGTTCTATTAGGTTGCAGTGAATATCATATAGCCCTATCGGTTAAAATACACACTAATACACTTCCTTATATAATTTTCGTCAAAAAATAGTAATAGCCCTCTCTGTCCAACTCCCTTATATAATTCTCATCAAAAAATAGTAATAGCCAGCCCTCTCGTCCATATTGTATTACCTCTACTTATGGATAATGAAATAGACGAAATAGCCTGGCCCAAAGAAACCAATAACGCGTCGGAAAATCAATTATCCGGTTATAATGAAAGTGATACGGATGGTGAGATAGTCAACGTAAATGAAGTTGCATTAACGATCGACGATTTATTCAATGATTGGGAATCAGTCCAAGTGATTATTGATTCGTATGCAAAACAAAATGGGTTTGTAGTAGTTAAAAGTCGCAAAGATGTTGATCCTATTGATAAATCTATTATCCGACAGCGTGAATATATTTGCTGGAAATTTGGAACTCATCAATCAAAGAAAGTTGAAGATATTAGTTTACACCGGGATTGTTCATCGTACAAGACAAATTGTCCGTGGCAAGCTAGTTTTTATCTTGGGAAAAAGTCGAATCTTATACGTCTTACCAAATTTGTACAGGAATATAATCATCAATGTGATCCAGAAACCATCGAATTGGCACCAAAAAATCTACGGCTTCCACAACAGATCATCAACAAAATCGAACACTACACCACAAATGGAAATCTAGGTGCTGAACAGCAGTATAAACTGCTTGTTCAAGAATTTCCCCAGTATAATATTGCAAAAAAAAACTTGTATAATGCAATTCAAAAGTTCCGGGGGGTTAGAATTCACGATAAAACTGATGCCGCCACGATGCTTTTGTCTTTATTAAAGCAACGAGAAGACGATCCAGATTATGTTGTCATACCACGATTAGAAGGACCGGCTAATGAGTTGACTGGGCTATTTTGGATGACTAGCTATCAATGTAACGATCTATGGCCCAAATATCATGATGTTATTGTATATGATACAACCTCAAAAACAAATCGATATGAAATGGCGCTCAGTCTATTTGTTGCTGTAGACAATAATTATAAAACAAGAATTGTAGCACAAGCATTGACTAAATATGAAAATCAGGCCGATTTTAATTGGATTCTCCAATGTACATTGCAAGCATCCAACAACCTTGCACCTAAGGTTTTATTTACTGACAGTGACCCGGCCATAATAGCAGCTGTTCAGGTAGTTTATCCGCAAACACGCCACTTATTATGCATTTACCATCTCCTTGAAAATGTAAAAAAAAAAGCCAAGTCTAAGCTTCGAGGTGACATGGCGTCGAGTTTCGTTGAAGATTTTTACACTATGAGGAATAGCTACAGCGAAGAACAATTCAATACGAAATATCAAGAAATGTTGAACAAGTATGAGCCATGTCGTCCATATCTTGAAAAACGAATTTATCCTAGTCGAGAATCTTGGGCTCAATATTGTATTTCAAAAATATTTACTGCGGGCATAGAAAGCACACAGCGTGTAGAATCGATAAATGGTGTTATAAAAAAGCTTGTTGACCGAGGCACGTTGTTAAAAGAGCTAGTAATGGCTATTGAACGCGAATTAGACAAGGAATCTCACTATACCCGAATTAATGATTTTTATGGATCAAATCCGTCGGTTGGGCTTTCGTCAACCTATAACACCATTTTCAAAGAACTTGATTCTGTATTGGAAGCGAATTTATTGGCTATTCCCTTGTCAATTCATAGAGCTCAAATGAACCAATCGTTGCTTTATCAAGCTAATTTGGTTTCAATTAATCAGGTTGAAGACGAAGAAACCAATTTTAATAACAGCGTATTAGGTATATTAGGACATTCACATGATATACCTCAAATTCGTTTGCGGGAACTCCTTAATGGTATATCTTACAATGATATTACTGAAATTTGGGAAGTATCGTATATTGCATCGAAACTTCCAAATCACACTACGTTGTTATACTTAAAGACGCGACGTTACTTTGCACCTGTATGTTTATTGTCAATCAAGAAATGATATGCCGTCATCAATTCAGGGTGCTTATTCAGTCAGACAACGCGATATTTCATATTTCACACATTCATACACGTTGGTTTAATTTAAGTTCAGATCCGCCTACCAACTCAACGGGTTTTATTACGATTGTAAATGGTGAAAAAAATCATACAACGATACCATTGAGTTACATAAATCAATTAAGAACAGATAATGTATATACTCCGACGATCAGAGAAAAGGTCAATAAAAAAATTCAATATGGCGCCGCGATGTCTATAGCTAAAACGAGTATTCAAATCGCTGTTACGGAAGATGTTACAGCTGAATTAATCGGAATTTTGACGCAATTTATTATGAAATATCGTAGAAGTACCGGGTTAAGCATTGAAAAGAGTAAGTATTATTTCTTTCTCGGATACTATAGATACCATATATTGTATAGCATAGGTTTAAGCTTCAAAAATACTAAAAACTTTGTTTTTTTTCAGGTACCGAATCATTACAGGATTCGCAAGGATCTTCTATTCAAGATAATCTTCAACCTTTATCCGTTCTTCCTGATATATCAAATCCTGAGTATCACAAACCAAAAGGACGACCTCCAAAGCGGTATAAATCGACGGTAGAAAATAATCGTATTACATCAGGAAAACCCGATGATGTAACAGTACAGAAAACATGCAGTTATTGCTCCGGAAAAGGTCATAATATCCGTGGATGTCCAAAATACAAAGCTGAATCATCCGCCAATAAAGAAAACGAATACTTAGTTTAGTTGGGTAAGGCGGTTAATAGTGTAATAGTTAATTGTTGTACACTTGCACTCAAATAAAAAATAAACAAAGATTTAGCTTTTGTATCAATTTCTTTATTAAATGTATAAATTTATTACATTAGAAACAATAGTAAAAATTTCATTTCTGCGCATTAAGAAATTTCGAAGTCACGTGATATATACGATCACGTGACACCGGTGCTGACCACCAGTGGTGGTAAATAGCAAACTTCTTATTATAATTGTTATACAAACATGTGTTACATGTGCACGTAATTGATTTCTCCCTATTTTACTCTTATCACATAATTTGCGTTATTGTTTATTGTAGTATTGTTCGCAATTGATTTTTTCCACTCAGCCTCTTGGCAGGTCTATTATTGCTAGTTTCTTGTAAGTTTGATAGGACTTTTGAAGGGAAGAGTGTCGTGTTTGATAGATGTCTGAATTTTCTTTACCTTCCTAACCTACATCAATAAGAAAAGACTTAGGTAAAGGAGTATTAAACGCGTTTGATATTTGATAAACTTAGAAATTTCTACCTTATGCCGCTTATAGAGTCTGAATATCAAGTCCAGTCATCATCCCGAACTACAAACATGGTAGTTATAGATGATATGAACGAAAATATACCACCCGAATTTGAAAGTATTACAAATGGAGATTATATCAATGATATGAATGTTAACAAAGCAATACTAAAAGTTAACGATACCTTTAAAGACTGGAATAAAGTTGATGTAATTGTCAATCAGCATGCAAGACAAACTGGTTTTGTTGCTATTAAAATCTGTAAAGACCTTGATGATGTTGACAAAACGATTGTTCGGTGATGTGTCTATACTTGTTGGAAATCAAGAACCAATAAACCGAAGAACGTAGAGGATATTACTTTACATCATGATGCTACTACAACCAAAACAAAATGTCTATGGCAAGCATCATTCTATTTTGGAAAATACGCAGCTACTATACATTTTAGCAAATTCAACAATGTTCATAATCATCAATGTGATCCAGTAACTATAGAGCTCGCACCTAAGAATCAACGTTTTTTGCAAGTAATGCTGGATAAAATTGAACATTATACCGTCAATGGACATTTAAGTGCTGGTTAACAGTATGATCTTCTTCTAAAAGAATTTCCTCAACATCATATAAAGAAAAAGAATCTATATAATGCAATTCAAAAGTTCTGAGGGGTTAGAATTCATGATGAATCTGATGCAAAAATGATGTTCTCATATCTTATAGAACAACATAACAAGAATCCTGATTTTATTGTTAAAACACAATTGGAAGGACTTTCAAATGAACTAACTGAACTGTTCTGGATGACAAGTTAGCAACGTAACGAGCTTTGGCCTAAATATCATGATGTTGTCATACATGACAATACAGCCAAGACAAATCGATACGAAATGGCCATTAGCTTATTTGTTGATATTGATAGCAACTTTAAAACAAAGATTCTCGCTCAAGCATTAATAAAATATGAAACTTTGGCTGATTATAAATGGATATTGCAATGCACATTAGAAGCCACAAGTAATCTCTCACCTGTTGTACTATTTACAGATGGAGATCTGGCAATGTTAGGTGCTGTCCAGATGACTTATCCACAAACTTGACACTTGCTATGATGTATCTACCATATTACAGAAAATGTAAAGAAGAAACTCAAGAAAGCCAAGTCTAAATTGCGTGGGGAGATAATCAATAATTTTATTGAGGATTTTTACCACATGCGCAATAGCTATACGCAGTGTCAATTCGAATCAAGATACAAAGAAATGCTCACAAAATATGAGCCATGTCAAGCTTACCTTGAAAATAAACTTTATCCAAGTCGAGAGTCATGGGCAAGGTATTCCATTGGAAAGATATTTACAGCAGGGGTTGAGTCAACTCAACAGGTTGAATCCATTAATGGTGTTCTTAAAAAGCACCTTGACCGAAGTACACTTTTAAAGAAGCTAGTAAAAGAAGTTGAACGAGAATTAAACAAAGAAGCACATTACAGCCGTCTTAATAATTATTATGGGTCAAATCCGTCAATCGGTCTTCCATCAACATACAAAACCATCTTTAAAGACATTGATTCTATATTAAAAGAGTGTTTAATGCCTATATATTGTCACTTCAGAGAGCATAAATAAAACAGACGTTATTATACCAAGGAACATTAATCACAATAGATCAGGTGAGTGGCTATAAAACAAATTTTTAAACTTTTAGTATGATGTTCAGTAGTATACTAATCCAATTGATATACTTATTAAAGATTAGTGAACCTGATATTCTGAAGGATATTGTTGAACATATGTATAACATTCCGCAAATCAGATTGCAAGAACTTCTATCAAATATAGATAATAATAAAATCCAGGAAATATGGGAAGTCTACTATATAATAATGACATCCTCAACAGCTAAGCCACACTACATAGCAATTCTTGCAGATTCAACATCATTTTGTACATGCATGTACATTATTAACCAAGGGATGCCATGTCGATAGTGTTTGGAATCATGTAACAGTTATTCGAATAACTCGAGTATATTTGAGTATTTGAATAAGCATAGTGGTTATTCGAGTATTCATTTAGCCAGATATAGTATAGTTAAAATTCTAATTGGGCATTAAATCTTTAAATTTGACTGAGTTAAAATCATAATTCAGGCTAAAAATTATGTAAATCATTACTATAAAAGGAAATTTAACTTATTCGAATATTATTCGAATACACTTTATAAATTTAAATGAATACTCGAGTATATTCGAATATATTCGATTCTAAACACTACATGTCGACATCAGTATCGAGTTCTACTTCAATCTGATAAAGTGTTATTCCATATAGGTTTCATTCATACGCATTGATTTGAATCTACGCCACCTGAAACATCAAATTACGTTACAATTGCTCAAGGAAATAAGACTTACTCAAGCAAACCGGTGTATTACATTGATCAAATTCGAAGCGGAAATGTTTATACATCAACTGTTAAAAAAAAGGTTGATAAAAGAATCGAATTCAGTAATACGATATCTGTTGCGAAGACTAGTGTTCAAATTGCTGTAATGGAAAGTGCAACGGGAGAACTGACTGGACTTCTCTCTTAATTTATAATGAAATATCGAAACAACACAGGACTAAATATCAATGAAGTCCAAGAGACCTTTTCTTATAATGTTACGAAGAATAACTGCCAACAGCAATCATTAGAACCGTTGGTTATAGTGGATAATAATAGTATTTCAGAGATATCAAATCCCAAGTATCACAAGCCAAAAGGGCGTCCTTCAAAACGTTATAAGTCACAAATGGAAATGACCAGTAAACAAAACATAACTTCATTTTCTAAGACATGTAGTTATTGCTTAGAAAAAGGTCATAATATTAGAAGCTGCACAAAAAACAAAGTTTCTGTTCAGTAAATGTGTTTCTTCGGTATGGTAGCTAGATAAAAAACACATCTGATACTTCTTTCATTGTGGGAATATATGCACTCGTTGTGGGAATAAATGATGTACTGTACGTTATACAACATTTGATTGGTTTAATATTAGCAGGTTTAGAGATTAACGAGATTGTAGAATAAAAAACGAATGGGTGCAAACTTTAGTTAGGTTTTGGAGGTTAAGGTTCGTAATTTTAAACGTCTAGCCATATTTTATTGTCAATTATAAACATGATTATAAACTTAATAAATAAAAATGAATGTTTTGCGATAAATTCACTTGCTAATTATAATCACGTGATACTGGTGATGATCACCGCCGGTGATAAATAGCAAACTTCAAAAAACAAATATATAATTAGTTATTTTGAAAAAAAAAGAATATCTTATTATTCATTTTACAACTATTTTACATCATAATTATTTTTTATTTGCATGTATTTTTTACAAAGAAAAAACAATAAATTAAAGCTAAAAATTATAAAAAAATATGTCTTATTTATGTACATAAAATATTAAATTTTTTTTTTTACTTACCACTTAAAAATAACTGCTATATTTGCTTATAAACTTTTTTGTCATATTTAATAAAAGTGAATAGAAAAATGATGGAAAAGTAATGGGCAGTGATGGGGAAAAAGAAGTGGTTATTACCGTTATTTTTAAATATCGATTAAAAAATTTTTTTTTATTTTTTATTAAATCTGAGTTACGTAAATATGTAACACATATTTAATTTAGATTTGTGTAATGTTAATTTTACTAAAATATTAAATTTTTATAAAAATCTTAATTTAGACTAATTCCAAAAATTGGCACATATGCAAAATTAATACTATTACAAAAAATGTAAATTTCTTCATAAGTATAAAGTATTATATTTACATCTATAAAAATTAATATGTAGGTAGTTTCAACCTTACTAAACAACAATTTTTAATGAATTTAGAAAGTCAATTTCATTTGACCAAATGGGTGTAATTACGTTCTGAAGTTGTAAACGGAGAAATAAAAAATTTGGAAATTAGTACTATTATGAAAAATGCACTTTTCTCCATAAGTATTATACTCACACTTATGAAAATTAATATATAAGTAGTTTCGACCTTGTTGAACAACTATCAATTAATTTAGAAAGTCGTTTCATTTAACCAAAGTGGTGTAATTACGCTCTGAAGTTATAAACAAAAAAGTGAAAAATTTAAAAGTTATTACCGTTATAAAAAATAGGCTTTTCTATATAAATATTATACTTAGCCTAAGACCCCGAACATCACATATATAACTCATAACTGATCTGCATGAATTTAGCACTTTTTGCTCCTGCTAAAATAGACCTAATTTGCTAAAAATCAAATTATCACATTTTAAATCTATACTAATTTGCTAAACCTCAAAATATGAGTTATAGTAAAATTTTAAATAATATAGGTTTAAATTTACTTAATTAAATATAATTTCAGTTTATTAAAATTATTTGTAGATCGGTAAATTTAATTGTCAATTTACCGAAATTAACAATCTTTTTTTTTTAT